GTGCCAACACCTCCTACCATGTCCCACAGCACCAGTCCTCACCTGTCTCGCTACATCATCTTCACCCGTTTCCTGTTCCTCACCATTATTTTCCCTCTCACACTCACCACACTCTCTACAGTCCTGTTTTCAATCTCCTCACCCGATATTCATCCCGTACTTCCTCCTCGCAGCCACCGGGGCCCGCGCGCGTGCAGCAGCAGCCCGCGACACCCGGGTCCGCTGCCCGCGGACAGGCCCGCCCCGGCTCGGCCCGCCCCAGCGGCCCGCCTCGGCGGCGCGGGCCCAGGCCGCAACCGCCGGCCCAGCCGCACCCGGCGGAGCGGCGTGCCGTCTCTGTGGACATGCAACACGTTTGTGACCCGACTCCCCGCACTCAAAACACTTTACGCTCCCTGAGCTCGCATAAACCATATAAAAACCCTCTTCGTGCCTCACCCGGAAGGACACATCTAGTGTCTGAGTGGGACAATTCAGAAACATGAAAACCTGTCTCCGCAGAGAATGGACATGTTTTAACTTCTCATCCTTACACCCCAGAGCAACAGTGCGGAGACTACTGGCAAACTTACCAAAACGCTTCAGCTCCCGTTCCAGCGCCTCATTCGGGATGAACGGAGGAACGCCAGACACAGTGATCCGCGTGGACGGTGTCGCCAGCGGTGAAACTTGAATGTATTCCTCGTTTAGCATTAATCCGCTCTCGATAAGTTCCGTCACATATTTCTGGTCTTTCAAAAAGACCACGACCGCTTTGTTCATGCGGGAAGCATAGGAGATATTTACATGACCGACCTGATCCCCCACAGCCAGCAGCACCTGCTCCACTGTGCTTGCGGCCTGAGCCACCAGCCGCACTCCGTGTCTCAGAGACACCGGCGGCGCCCCGGAGGACGCCATCCCCGCCCACGAGGCACGGAAAAACACTAAATTAACAAATGAACTGTACTTGCAAAGGGTACAAAAATCCCAACGAAAAGATCATACAGTTAAAGAAACGATTGAACCAGAAACAAACGAGTTAAAGTCGAAAATCCCTCTTCCCTCTTCAAACACACATCCACCACCGAAGAAGAAGAAGAAGAAGAAGAAGAAGAAGAAGAAGAAGAAGAAGAAGAAGAAGAAGAAGAAGTGACGTCAGCGGCTCATTTGCGTAATCTTCCCTCAGGGAAAAGTACTCCGGTGTGAACACGATTGGTACATGTGCTCTGGGGTTCTAAGTGCCGGCACTTAGTACGGCAAAGTTCTTGGTGTGAAAGCGGCTCTTCTCTAGGAATGCCCCGGTGTATCTTCTTTAGATATGTCACTTGTTTGTGGTTCTTCCATTTTCTATGTGCTATGTCCTTACCTTCAGTAGTTCAGTAGTCTAGTGGTGAGACACTGATCCTCAATCTGGAAACTATGTGCTGCCGTTGACACACAGATTCTGTAATACCAATGGGATGTCACACTCACACACACATTCTCTTCTTAACAAAATACTAAAAACCATTAGTAAACACACGCTAAACCTGCCCATAAACAAGAAGTCCAGTCTTTTTGTTCATACAAATCTTAGGTCAAGTCAAGTCAAAACTCACTCTTCGACATGGACCCTTTGATTCAAACCTTAGGTGTGTGATCTGATGTTATCATCTAAGGGCTGTTTCATATTACTTTAAGGATCATCCCTTTGGAGCAAACATGGACGTGTGCAGAGTGAAGGGAATTTGGACTGGGATGGAGATGACAGCGGTGGGTTAAGATAGTGAAAGATCTGTCGTGAGCTGTCATGACCCTAACAGCCAGGCGTTGGCACATTTCCGCCAACAACCAGACAGGGTCCGAGTGCCTTTTCAGAACAAATGACCTGGCATGTCTGTGTCTGTATCTTAGATCAATCACCATTACCCAAAAGTAACATTTTTTCAGCCTTGATCAGAATCAGATTCATGTTGGGATCTACCATATCATCACGATCCAAAGCTGTTATCTTTAACCAGCATCGTGTATCCAAGCTGCCTACAAGGAAACAGTGAGCCATCTATGATCAGCACTATGTCGTGGAATGTCCATTTCCTCTGTTTATCCTCTCATGAGTAACCCATCCTCCTTTAGTTAATAAAGCTTGTTTGTGCAGTGACTCACTCTCTATTTCGGTCTCCTGCTGCTCTCAACCTGACTTCTGCTGTTCCAGTGACCATCTGAAAAACCAACATCAGCTTTTGTAAAGCTGCCACCATGTGTTTACTGCACATCGGTTACACATGGTGAGGCTTTGATCTTCAAACCAGCAGGAGCAAGCACAAAATAATCAAAGGAAACATGTTTTTGTTGTTGTTTCAGCATGGAAAGCACCACAGATGGGGAATAAAGTCCCTTTTTTATTGTTTCATCTCCACCAAGTGTTCCGAGTAGACTAAGAATACTCACACGCAACGCAAATGCAGCAATCTGTCACCCGTCTTTTTATTCTCACACCTCCAGACTCCGATGAACCAGGCGTCCACGCGCTCCCACTGTATTTTCACCATGCACTTGTGCAGACGCGAGCCGGGCTCGGCCACCTTGCGACGCTCCAAGCTCCACCTGGTGGACTTGGCCGGATCGGATAGAGTGAGCAAGACTGGCCTGAGCGGGCAGCTGCTCACTGAGGCCAAGTACATCAACCTCTCCCTCCACTACTTGGAGCAGGTAGCCACTTCTGAAATGTTCTGATTTGTATTTTAAAAGTACATATTCTATATTAATATTAAAATGTATTTTACTTGCTTCATTTACAGTGTGTGGTTTGGCACAGCCAGTTTAATGCTTTCCCTCACTTGCTTCCTTACAACTCTGATTATTCTGCTCTTGTTCACTTTCCTGTTCTTCAGGTGATCATTGCTTTGTCAGAGAAGAACCGCTCCCATATTCCCTACAGGAACTCCATGCTGACCTCTGTGCTGAGGGACAGCCTCGGGGGCAACTGCATGACTACCATGATCGCCACCATGGCAGTAGACAGGAGGAATCTAGATGTAAGGAGGGTCTGCATACAGTAAAGTCATGTTTAGGCAAAATTGTAGGATGCCCATGTCTACAGTACACTGTATTCCAAACATACTTATAAAACGTAATCTGCATAAAGCACAGTATACAGTGGGGAAAAAAAGTATTTAGTCAGCCACCAATTGTGCAAGTTCTCCCACTTAAAAAGATGAGAGGCCTGTAATTTTCATCCTAGGTACACTTCAACTATGTGAGACAAAATGAGAAAAAAAATCCAGAAAATCACATTGTCTGATTTTTAAAGAATTGATTTGCAAATTATGGTGGAAAATAAGTATTTGGTCACCTACAAACAAACAAGATGTCTGGCTCTCACAGACTTGTAACTTCTTCTTTAAGAGCCTCCTCTGTCCTCCACTTGTTAACTGTATTAATGGCACCTGTTTGAACTCGTTATCAGTATAAAAGACACCTGTCCACAACCTCAAACAGTCACACTCCAAACTCCACTATGGCCAAGACCAAAGAGCTGTCAAAGGACACCAGAAACAAAATTGTAGACCTGCACCAGGCTGGGAAGACTGAATCTGCAATAGGTAAGCAGCTTGGTGTGAAGAAATCAACTGTGGGAGCAATTATTAGAAAATGGAAGACATACAAGACCACTGATAATCTCCCTCGATCTGGGGCTCCACGCAAGATCTCACCCCGTGGGGTCAAAATGATCACAAGAACGGTGAGCAAAAATATCGTAAGTTGCCGCAAGCTACATCCCCTATGTAAGCGCACCACGTATGAAAGACCTGAGGTCAAGATGATAGATCCTGCTCCGGATAGACAGGCCTGCCGGACCAAAGTAACAAAGGCCATGACCATCGATAGTTATATACAGTCTCTTACGCGCCGGGAGTAGTCACATATTCCTTGCGCCATGTGGTTTCAGCGCGCTCGTCCCCGAATGACTCTGCTTAAGCTGTTAATGGTCTATGCGCTCACAGTCTGACTAGGTTTGCCTTCATGAGAGTATTTTAGTTTTATTGATTCTATAGAATGGTAGATTTGGAAGTTGAACATGATGCATGTATGTTTGTCAGATTTCCTGTAGAAACTCCGGCATCAACCAGTAGAAACCTCTCTTATTAAGAGTGAATAGTATCTCGCGCAGACGATTAGTGTGATTTTGGAGGGTCAAATGATCACAAGAAACGGTGATGCATCTTAAAATCCCAGAGACCACTACGCGCTGACAATACTCATGATGACCTGCAGATGGAGCTGCGGACCAAAGCACCTAACAGAGGCTGCCATCATGGTGTTCAACACAACAAGCCGGCCAGGCGACTCAAATCCTGCCAGTGCCAGACGTGTACCCCTGCTCAAGCCGTACAGTACAGGCGACGCTCGAAGTTGCCTAGGGAGGAGCATTTTTCATAGGTTCCAGAAATTGGAATCTCTTATGTAAGAACGAAAATAGACTTGGGGTAAATGTGCGACTAGATGTGATTGCTGAGGAGATAGAATGCTGAGTGAAACATAGAACACCATACCTTACTGCTGAACATGTCATCATGCTGGCTGTTTTTTCTTGCCAAAGAGGACCAGGACGAGCTGATCCATTAAAGGAGAAGAATGAATGGCGGGGCCATGCTATCGTGATTTTGAGTGACAACCTCCTTCCATCAGCAAGGGCATTGAAGATGAAACGTGGCTGGGTCTTTCAGCATGACAATGATCCCAAACACACCGCCCGGGCAACGAAGGAGTGGCTTCGTAAGAAGCATTTCAAGGTCCTGGAGTGGCCTAGCCAGTCTCCAGATCTCAACCCCATAGAAAATCTTTGGAGGGAGTTGAAAGTCCGTGTTGCCCAGCGACAGCCCCAAAACATCACTGCTCTAGAGGAGATCTGCATGGAGGAATGGGCCAAAATACCAGCAACGGTGTGTGAAAACCTTGTGAAGACTTACAGAAAACATTTGACCTCTGTCATTGCCAACAAAGGGTATATAACAAAGTATTGAGATGAACTTTTGTTATTGACCAAATACTTATTTTCCACCATAATTTGCAAATAAAGTCTTTAAAAATCAGACAATGTGATTTTCTGGATTTTTTTTTTTCTAATTTTTTCTCTCATAGTTGAGGTATACCTTAGGATGAAAATTACAGGCCTCTCTACATACTTTTAAGTGGGAGAACCTTGCACAATTGGTGGCTGACTAAATCCTTTTTTTCCCCACTGTAATTATAGTTTTCGGTATTTATAAATATTTATCATGCTTAATAAGTAAGGGATAATGTCAAGTATATAAAGTGGACCTATCATGCAAAATGCACTTTTGTACGTCTTTTATACATGAATATGTGTCCCCGGTGTGTCAGGGAACTCACCAAGTGTCAGAAAACACAACCCTCTCTCTTTTCCTCCATACCCAAATCTCTAAAAACGGGGCTGCAACGGATCTGATACAGACTGATCCAGATTTGAAATATCTCTGACGTCAGGAACGAGGAGCTCCGCCTATATGGGCAACTCTCCACCTATCAGGAGGAGACAGCCACGGCCATTGCATTCGAAAGCGCTGGAGACGCTGTAGTACATATGCCAGGCCTGTAGGTGGCGCTGTAGTCTGCCACAAAAGCAGCGAAGAAGACTTCTCACAGATTCAGCCCTTGCAAAAACAGGGCTAAAAAATAGCAAATAGAGCGAAATGAGGCATGGCTAAAATGCATGACCTGTTTGGTATTTTGAAAAAAATACTTCGCAGACATGTTTAATATAGGTATGGCCCTACAATATATTATTCAAATATAGCATGATAGGTCCACTTTAAATAAGCCCTGTAAACACACATTATATAGAAGAGTGATTATAAGGTATTGTGCAAAGTTTATAATAAGCTGCACCAATTGTAATAAGCAGTGAATGACCAGCAATAATACAGGATATCATTACGTTTATTATAAATGGGCATCATAGAAAGTGTTACTGAACATTTGGCCAAAATAGTGAGGAGAAACAAGGTTTCTGAAAGTAAAAAACATATACTGTTGGCCATTTGGTTTTCTAGCTTTGTCTGTGAACGCTTTCAGATAACCCAAGGTAAAATAAATATTAGGAAAATGTTGTCCTCTTTGTTGAGTCCTTGCTTGAGTAAATGTTTCAAATGATTATTACATTGAGAAGAAGTTCAATTCTTTCCTAAGGCAGAAAAACAACATTCAAACATCTATTTAAAACTTTATTTCTTCAGGAGTCCATCTCCACGTGTCGCTTTGCTCAGCGTGTGGCTCTCATCAAGAACGAGGCCATCCTGAATGAAGAGCTGGATCCTGCCCTGGTGAGACACACACACACTCACAGCACTTCACCAGTCACTACAACCACCATTCAGCCACACAATCGCACCACAGAAGCATGACTTCATGTGCTCTTTCATTACGGCCAGACTCTCCTCATATCTTCCAGACCTTAAATTGATCAGCAAATGAGTTGCAGTGAGAATAAAGCGTCTGAATGTAACCCAGTTTCCAATACAAAATGAGTTTTTCCAGTGTCTCACACACAGACAGTAATACTGAAAGAAACAGTTTTCCACCTGCAACACGTGGACGCCTGTCCATCTTCTATTATTTAGACTGCTCACAGGTCCTGTTTGCTTTCCCTCTCTGCTTTGTTTACATGCCTCCACTTCTATTATGGCATATTTTATACCAATACCTTACAGCCTCTTGAAAAAGCCTCCAGCTTGTGACTGGTGTGTATACAGTATATGTCTTTACACACATTCATGCAAGGAAGCACGCATTGCACGCGTTCCTTGCCAGATGTTGTCAATATGAGGACATCGTTTTTTTGTTAATTTTTTGTAAATATCATTACCCCTGACAAGATTCATGGCTAAACTACTGACCTGATTTACATTAAACCTTTTGGAAGGGGGTATCATGGGCCGAGAAAGAACCCAATAATTCATAGCTTTCTTCAGTAGCTATAAAGTCTGAATACATTTCTATTTGATGTTATAAATAATATAGGCAATCAATTGATAACATATGTGGTTACAGAGGCCTCTTCATTGTTATATAAACCCCACACAAATGCCAAAATTTACCTTATATTACACTCTGATATACATTATATAAGGAGTTATTGGGAATCAACAGATTGCCAGAGAAGCGTATGCAGGTTAACCTTCCTTCGCTTTCTCCTTTTACAGTACTTGTCACACCTTCCCCCATTGTAGTGCGCCAGGAAGCAGATCTGGTAGTTGTTGTAATAGCCCCACGGGGGATATACAGTAGTAAGTCATCACAGCCATATCCGCTTCCTCCCCTCCCACCCAGATCTGCCTGAGGATCAACTGCTACTGTATTACTGTTAGTGAGACTTGGCTGGCCACTTGCAAACCCTGCAGAGGTATTTTTAAGAGAGTCTGCGGCCGGCGGAGTAATTGTGACAGTGTCTTGCTGCTCCCGGCACAGTTTCAACGCCATGCAAACCCAAAACTCTGCAGGCAAACTTCTCGTCTCCGTTTATGGCTCTTTGGTGTGTTTCTCCTTTAGTCCGTTTCTCCCGTCTCTCTGTCTCTCCCTCTATCTGTCCCCCTGGTTTACTGAGAAAAAAAAGTTAAGCAAGCAGGGCAGTTTGCAGATTAGAATGATGTCATTTATCGTGGTTTGGGGTGACACTCAGACTCCCGTTTTGGCCCGGCCCCCGTCTGAAGGCACACTGTCTGTTCGCCCTGCCGGCTGTGGTAATTGATTTGAAACCTGGAGTTTGCCTTTTTCACAATCTGGCAGTGAGAGTTTGGTACATGGTTCAGACCACATGCTGCCCTAATGGTCCTGTGCTGTAGCCTGCAGGCTACACAATGCACTTTGTCACATTTAAGAACAGTCGGAAACCAGACCGACCCGACAAAACATTGAACACGTCCCTGAGGGAAAAGGGAAAGAATGAGGTGTTGAAAATGACCCGTGATCATAATGAAGTCAGCCATGGTGACCACGCCATATAAGGTCTGCTCTGTGGGTCTTACGGTTGCCTTCAGACTGCAGGCAAAAGGCGCCTCAACCGGATTTTTTTGAATAGTGAACCTATATTTTGCACATGTGAACCTATTTCAACAGTAGGAGAAGCACAAATAGCATGGAATCAGTATTGTTCAATTCTCCTTTCTGATGATATATTTTTGACTTAATTCTGCTCTCGTTTGAGTTACTGGTATACAAATATCAAGATAGATGACATGGAGGTAGTGTTATTGTGTATACAGTATATAGCTAGTTTCCATAGTTAGTATAGATAAGTATTATTAAAGGGGCCCAGTCATGCTTTTGAGGGTTTTCCCTCTCTTTTGTAGTGTGTTTATAAAGGTTTTATGTGCATGTAAATGGTCTGCAAAGGCTTAAATCTCAAAGTTACCTCCAGATGGAGTTATCAGGCTGATCCTGCTATGCAGTAAGAATGATTAATTTCATATTCATCAATTCAGTTGAATATAAAGCTACTGGATCTTCTATAAAGCGTCCACCTTTTCCTGATTTTAAGTGTGCACTTAAAACTTGAGCATTGCATGAAGGAGGTGCTAATCTTGAGTTGAGCGGAATTGCCATCAAGATAATTCTTAAAGGGTCAAAAAAGTTGATCTTAAGGTGTTGTTATGCAGCTTAGGGTTATAGGAGGCTGGGCGACCCTACTGAACCTCGACTCTCCTCATTCTCAAAGATTCACAAGTCTCGCTTGAGAAGAGAGCTCTGATTAGCACATACCTGTGAGTCAAAAATAATCCTGCTTATAGGCCACCAGAGAGACATGTTTGTGAAGAGGGTGTGAACATTCCTGCGGGGGGTTGCTCTCCGCAGGTCCTCGTCCAATAGCCCGGACTTCTTTAAGACAGAAGAGAGTTTGTAAGTGCAGCGGTGTGACTCAATTCAGTGCTCTTTGCCTTAAATGCCTTAATGGTGCTATGCATGGAACGCAGCCTTGCCCCTGTTTATGTGCAGTGGTAGACTATGACTCCTCTTCATTCATAAAAAAGGCCACATTATAGCAGTGTGTGTGTGAGTGGCAGACTACATTATAAATGCATCTAAGGTGTAACCTGTGGTTCAACTGTAGTGCTTAGCGTTTACTGTGGGTGGTTTGCTGCAGAGGTTGGATAGTAGAAGATGTATAATTGAATGCAGAGTTTGGATGTTTTGAAGTGGGGTTGTATGAGGTACTTGTCCACAGGCAGTATATTTCCTACAGTAGATGCACACCCCCAGTTTGGAAAATTACTGCACGGAAGTCAAGCAATGTACTGCTGTGGCTGGGGGCAGCAGCAACACTTATTTCAGCCAAGTAAAAAAAGACTCACCAAAAGGTTTAAGTATGCACTGTATTTCAAATATTTGCAGGATACAAAATTATAAAAATGATAAAATCTCTCTGTATATGTACAGTATATACATTAACATACGTAAGATAAAATATAAAGACGATAATACATAAATCAAATGAAAGTACATCAATAGGCAGGTATACAGTTACAATAAATCAACAAAAGATAATTGCAAATGAACAAAAGCCACACAATGACTACAAATACAGTAAACTGACCGATCCATCCATGATTCTCCCCTTTTTATGCAAGGTAAAATTACAGTTTTTTCAAAAGAGTGTCTGGGTTTTGGTAGAGTGGAAACATGGACTGTAAGACTATGCAACTGCTGGGTGAACGCGTAAACATATTGGAAATATAGCGTTCACACAAACCACTGTTAATATTATGTGCTGGGCCTTTCTTTGAGGTGACAGAATAAGTAGTGGAGAACAGTCAATGTAATAAATTGACTGTGGATAAGTACAACCATATTTAATAACTATCCTTTTTAAGGAAGTACTGTTTTAAATAATGAGTAGCATATTTGGCAGCACATATAAAGCAATACAGATATTCATGTGCTTTTTGCATGCCATCAAAGTTATAATAAGCATGTGGAATGATTTCACTGACTTGGTTTCAATTGAATATGAGTCATATTTATTCAGAGTGTATAGCATGCAGTGGTGCTGTGGTACCAGCGTGGGCCGACGCTCGTAAATAGACTGCCCCGTTCCGCTGACCAACGACTGGCGGTCATTTTTTCAGGATGCAGCTGGAAGGATTACATCAGGCTCCGGGCTCCAAAGAAGAGATGCAGGGAGCGGCTCTGGTGAGGGATGGTCAGCTATGATGTTAGAAAATATGATACGGGTGGATTTTAGCTGACATTTTGCATTTAGCTAAGTGGCATCTACCCAAAACCACACTGCAGGTCTGTTTCTCCTCCAGAGCATCTCGAGTTGACAATGTCTGACTGTATGACTGGCCTTACAACATGTGAGCGGAAAGCCCTTTGCTGTATTAGATGTCGCAGTCTGACCTTTGCCCCTGATTTATTTTACTAACAACCAAGCTCCCTAGCAGCTTTGTGTCAGGAGTCGCCACTTTGTGTTGTATTTGCTGTTTGCCGCTGATACCGTTCCAGCCCTTCATTCTGCTTTAGTATTTCGCAGTGTGGTCGAATCCGGTGTTTATAGTAAAGTGGGATTTATACTGAAGAAAGAAGTGAATCATGTGAGAAAAGGAACAATTGGCACTAGGTGGTTGTAGTGTGTCGTTTTGTGGTGTTATTTGTGCGTATTTTTTTATTTCAACTGGTCTGGCTTTCTTTAAAAAACAACACCATTCATTGATTTTGGTCTTGGCCTATTTCCTCTCCATCGACACTTCTGTTAGGATGTAGGGTAGAAAGGTCATCCTCTGATTCCTTTTTTCAAGGTATTTGGCCAGTTTGAGGGACAATTTGTCACCTTTTTATGTGAATCTTCAATAAGTGTTAACTGAAAATGTAGTCCATTCAAGCGATTCATTCCTCAGTGTTCACTATATTGACAGAGAACTTAGTTTTCCTACGGGGGATCCTACCAGGAGTGCCTACATACCAGGATGCATTTCATGTGCACTGCTAATGTCAAGTCAACATAAATGAAGCCTACACATGCATGCAGGTAAATATTTTAAAACACAAGGTCTGTAAGGTCTGTACTCCAAACCAGCAAAAAAACAACGTTGTGGTTATTGGATGACAGATTGCAGCTTCACTCCTTCTGTTTTTTACTTACACACAAAGGATCCCATATTCACTTTTGGAAACTTAAAAGGTTTGCAAGACAAGAGGACATAACTCTCTGTGTTTGAATGGCATCTAAAGCAACCCCCTTGGCTGAAATAGCAGTCTAAAGTTCTTCCTTGCCTCTTTCTAAATCAGTCTTACACCAAAAGGCGGCTCCGGATGCAAGAGGGACTTCAGATTTTGCAGCAGGAGAACTCCACTTTAAATGTATTAACAGTAGCAGGCACTGAGGAATATATTGCCTTAAATGAACATCAACACTGATTGTGTATCCACTTAAAAAGTGGATAATATCTCTTTAAATATCACACACAATTAGCTGCAAAATAAATCAAGCTGTAAATCCTTCTTTATTGGTCGTGTGTTTATGTATGTATGTGGCCCCGTTCACATTTAATCACAGCACCTCAGGTTCAAGTTGAGGTACACTGCTAATAACGGCTCAGCATCAATATAAGGGCACGTGTCAAGTGAGCTCACCTCTAACCTCTTGCTCCTGTTGTGAAGGAAGAGATTTATGATTTAATTAGTAAAGTAGAGAGCTTTCTTTCAAAAGTGTAGAAGTTACGGCATCAGCATCATGTGATACATTACTTGAATTTATCACAATTACTTGTTCAAACAAATAATATAAACCTGGCAGTTCCAGTTTAGGTCAACCAAACACATCTCATTATCAACGGAGCATTAAAAACACAGAAAAAAGCCAAAACAACATTTTTGAAGAAGTTCTATCCCTTAAGAACACCTATTATTGTTAACATCAATTCTTTTTTGCTGCGTTTTTTACATACGCGCAATGCATTTACGATCTGAACTCGCTAATCCTTGAGGTGCTATGTAGCTAGACGCCTGCTAATCCCTGCCTAGACTGACATGAGGCCGCTCAGACTGACCTCTGTAGGCATGGAAAAAGAGAAAGGGCGGCATGCTTATCTACAAAGACTAAAGGTTATATGTCAACAACGCCGGGCCCTGACACATCTGTGTTTGGTGGATCCTGCTTTCATGTCATCGATTTCTCATCATATATGCTTTAATGAAAAAGACTGTCAGGTGGAGAAGGCGGTCCCTGGGGTGCACAGATTAGAAAACATATTGCTGTCAGTATAAATCAGTGGCACGATGCTACAAGCTGTTTATGAAAACAATGTCCGGCTCTATCATATTGTCTCTCCTCTCATCATGATTTTTTGAAATAATAGACATTCTTGCTGTTTTATTTTTTTACAAAGATTGCTATCTAAGTACTTATTTAAGAAGCTATGTCTGGACTTGGTGAGATATTTTACTTGTTTAGATATATATGCAGTAACCAGAGCCGGCCAGCGGTTACTAACAGCAACCACTCTGTTGGCTCGGTGCGGATGGCCTTAACCAAACACGTGTGGACAGTCAGCAGCACAGGGTTTTATGTGAACTTTTCTTTTGCCATCGTAGCTTTTTTAATGCTGTTTTTATGTTTTGCTTCTTGTATTTTCTCGCTGGGGCATGCAGTTGTCTGGAATCACTCAAGTTTGTCCTCAAAATGCATCAGAAAGAGGATCATTTTCAGACGGATTGTCTCATCACTTGGCAGCAGCAGAAATCCTCTGTCCTCTGCAGCGCTACTGTGTCTTTGTTTTGTACTGTAGGTGAAAGTATCGCGCATCGTGTGTGTATGTGCACACATAGTCGACCTGTAACCGTGCTTTTTGTGTGTTTTTCAGCTAATAGCTCGTCTGAAGAGGGAGATCCAGTCTCTGAAGGAAGAGCTGGCCATGTTAACGGGAGAACAGAGGGACGGGCAGCTGACTGTGGAGGAGATCCAGAGGTTTGTCCCCTCAATCCACTCGGTTCTGCCAAGCTATTATTTAAAACGTTTTTTATAAAATATTTCAGAAAAAAAACATTAACATAAATCTAACATATTAATAGCAAAGACATATTGGCCTATTTGTATCCAACAGCAACAACATTTAATTTACATATCATCCTCCTTGATGATATTCTTATATGAGCGAGCTAACCTCTCCTAAATCACTGCACTGTGTAGCAGTTGGCTATTTTACATTTTGGTGTCGTACTATTTTAAACACTATAGAAAAGGTCACTAAATGTAATTGTAGGCCCAGTTTATCATGACCAAGAGAACAAGATGGCGAATACAAGCGGCTGATGCAGTTTTCCTCCGGAGGGTGGCTGGCGTCTCCCTTCGGGGTAAGTTGGGAAGTACAGCCATCCGGGAGGGACTTGGAGTAGAGCCGCTGCTCCTTCGTGTTGAAAGAAGCCAGTTGAGGTGGTTCGGGCCCTTGGTAAAGATGCCACTCAGCAGCCTCCCTAGGGAGGTGTTCCAGGCACGTCCAGCTGGGAGGAGACCGAGGGGCAGACCCAGGACCAGGTGGAGGGATTATATCTCTTCTCTGACCTTGGAGCACCTTGCAATCCCCCAGTCAGAGCTGGTTGTTGGGAAAGGGACGTTTGGGGCCCTCTGCTGGAACTGTTTCTCTGGCAGCCCGACTCCGGATGAGTGGTGAAAAATTGATGGATGGATGGGATGAAGAAAAATGTCCAAGTCTGAGTTAAATAAGACTGCCGGTAAAACTATTTTATGACGCCCATGTCCATAATGCAGCCATCTCAGGACAGAAATGAACTGTCTCCAGGATGTTTAAGTATACGTCGGACCCAGGGAAGGGAGCAGATGGTCGTTTTTTGGACTCTGATTTGTATTTGTTAAGCTCCACAAACCCAGAGATTCTTGAGCAAATATGCTTCAAGATGTATAAGTATTTTGGGTTTGCCTAAAGTGCCTACATAACTTATGCTGCTGGCTATGCATGGATGCTGAGTTGAAACCTCATTCACTGAGGCTTATCCAGATCTAATGGAGTTTCCCAGGACTGCTCTCTTTAGACTTTAGGCAGAGGGAGCCAGCGACTGAGGCCAGAGTTCAGGACAGAGGTTCCAGCGAGGACTTGGCACACCGCCCCTTCAGTGCTGATGTATTTACAGTGCCTCAGTCCCCTCAGTCAGCCTTTTTATTATTTCCTCTCTACCCAAGTGATTATCCTCGATTTCCCCCTGTTTGTGGTCAAACTCACACAGGGATCCTTCATAGCTACGTTCACTGGACATGCTGACTTTTTTGTAGTCGTTTCCTCTCTGTTCTATGCCCTGATTCATCCCCAGTGCCAAGTGATTTCACATATCTTTGCTTATTTTTTGTCACATTTCCAAACGCTCATATATTGTCAGGCATACAGATGGTTTTACCTTTCCAGAAGAATACTCTGCTCCATTCAGTGCTTTGTAAGATTCAGTAATAATCCTCTCCCCATGCAGGCTGAAGTTGTTTCTCTTAATACGGTATTTGTTTGCTCCACATGCTACATGACATTTCACCTCGCACTTTGGAAAACTCATTAAGAAACTCTTAAATTCTGCTTTTTAAAAGATGGATGTTTTTCCTTCTTACAAAATATTGTACATGGCACTAAAGGGCATTCCCCAGAATCAAACCTAGTATCACAAAACCTCTGATGTCTCGCAGGGCCCTGTAACGAGACCGCTACGTTTGTTTTAAGTCCTTTGTCATGTAAACCGAGCGTGTTTCTACTGAACATGACAGTGGAAAATGAAAACCGCACGTTGTCGTGCCTACATCGGATCCGTCTGGACGGCTGCCGCGGTCTTTTCCAGCGGCCAGGTCCAGAGCTCAGAGAACCAATGTTTGTACTATCATCCAGTGATAGTTTATCAACAGGGCCGGCCCAGTGGAGCTGAAGCACACGTTTAAGTAAATAGTTTTCTTTGAGCAGACCCACATTTTAAACACTCCTCAGATATAAATATTAACTGTTTGAGTGTGTGATGATTATAACATGGAATGTGGCACTGGTTTGAGGTCATTAGTGTGTGTGTGTGTGTGTGTGTGTGTGTGTGTGTGTGTGTGTGTGTGTGTGTGTGTGTGTGTGTGTGTGTGTGTGTGTGTGTGTGTAGGTTGGAAGAGTTAGTCAAGGCCTTTCTGGACGACCCTGATCCAGATGTGATGCTGTCGTTGGGACCAGACATGAGAAAAATCCAGTTCTGTTTCTCCCTGCTGAAGGTAATACTCCTCAGTCTATCCATGTACAACATTTGTATGCATGTCTCCCTGTGTCGGTGTCTCTCTTTCCTTCTCTCTGAATCTGCTCAGGAAGCCAGGTCACAGGTAGCTCTGATGCATACCAGCGCAGGTTTTTTCCGGAATGATCAATCAAAAACTGTCAACATCTTGTGCTTTTATCCTTATCTGTGTACCTTGAGAGTGTCCTTCCGCTCTTTGACACTCTGTGACTGCAAATGCTTTATACTGTCCTGTTTTTACCTTTTAGTCACTATTCATCATGACAGACAGTCGATTTGCAATTTACCTTAACTAATAATCAGTTATTTCATTGTGATACCAACGCACTTGCATGCTGCTTGACTTCCCTAAATGGGTACTGATGAGGCAGGATAACAGTCAAGAAAACTCTCCAATCAAAAAGGTACCTGACAGTCTGTATGCCTTCATGTGTACTCTTTTTGGTTTGTTGGTGTGAAAGCTCCCTAAGTGTTAGTGCTTGAGGTCCATTGGCACTGTAGGAGTGAATGGATAGAGTCAAAATCCCTTCCTCCAAACAGCTCCCTCTAGTGTCCTCCGCCTGAAAATGCCTTAATTTTCATTGAGTAAAACGTCCTCTCTTGATACATGTGATTTTTGTTACTGTAGATTTTTACTCTATCATCATAAAGCAAAAGTAGAATAGTTTCACTGATCATGATCGTCATGATATTTAACGTATAGGTCCAACTATAAGCTGACTTCAAATGCTTTATTCTTAAGGCTACCGCCAGACGTAGGCAATATTTTGCAATCCACTGATGCACAATTATTTTCAGTGCTGTTGATTTTCCCACGGCCTGACTTAGTCTAGAGTCTAGACACTTGATGTTTTTCAGTTGTTTGCCATCTAGTTGGAGGCTAGGTGTAACATGACATGCAAACGGAAACTAGCTATTAAGATATGTCACAACAGCTAAAAAAACAAACCAACACATACCTACAAACAAAATGATGGTCTGAAGTTTTTGTTCTGTTGCAGAAGTTCTGTTATAAAATTGAGCGCAGAAAAATTCTGCCTATTAGTCATAAACAGAAAATGAACCAGCAGTAACTCATGAGTTATAAACTTTGATCCGAGCAAATGATTAAGCCAACATATAAAACCTTTTCGGGTTCTGAATAAGTCAAACAGTTTTCACACACAAAAATATCAAATTAACTCATTAATCGAAAATGTAAAAGCACTAATATTGGCTGAAAGTAAGCTCATGTATTAACCAGTTGAATGGGTCAGTAAACATATGATTCCATCATTATAAAACACATATGTATATATATATATATACTGTATATATACACTGCCATATTAATGGAATTTTTATCTCAGGTCATTGTAAATGTTGTATTCTCTATGTTTTATTTGGGAACTGGATGACTTCTTTTAAATGAATGTCATATTTGTTTTGTGGACTCAGGGCATCATTTTGGTTTTGGCTGGGTGCCTGATCCACCGACTATTTGTCATTCAGACTGCAATGGAAATACTTCCCAATTGCATGTCGCCTGCCAAATGTTTGCAGAAAACATCAATGATTAAAGTTTTTGTTTTGTAGACAGTCAGATGGATTATAGACGGTGCTCAACATTTCTAAGACTGCAACCCACTGCTGCTAAAGGAGCGTAGGGGAAACACTGCGGGGCTCACACTGTTCCTGCACTCCGCTGGTTGTAGTTCGAGCAGCGGACCAGAAGCAGTTCCAGATCCCACTTGAATGACTGTTTATCTCTCCTTCACTTTGTTATGATCCGCACGCTCTATCTCCTGTTCAGTTTACATTCTTCTGAGCATCACCCCGTCACACTTCACTGAGGAACTTGGATCTGCTTTGAATTGATTCCTTTCTTCTTTGTTCTCAACACTGGCTCCCTCTCATACGCTCCGCTTGTCTTTGTTTCAGGGTGAGGTTTAGAGGCCGTGCATATCGGCAGTGTGATCTCAAGCACTGTGAGTTTAGGTGTGCAGCTCAACCTCTGTGTTTTAGCACTTAAAATTAATGTGAAAATGAATAACAGTAGAAAATAAAAAAACTTAAATATAAAATAAAAACATTTAAAATAATACAAATTAAAATAAATACATGTTGACAGTGAAATAAATGAATCAGTAGACTATCAACTATACACTATGAAGGGCCAGTTACTGCTAACAACATTTTAAAGTATGATATAAAAGAATAAGAATAATTAAAAGTATAAATACCTTCATCTGAAAATACTCCAAGACAAGTAAAAGTCCTGAATTCAAATTGTTACTTGAGTAGAAATATAGAAGTATTGACAGTAATAACTTAAAGTATCAAAAGTAAAAGCACTCAATATGCAAAATAGCTCTATTAAAATTATTATATTATAGAACATGCATTTATTACGTTTTAATTGCTTCCTAATACACGTAAGACCATGTAAATATTGTAGTTTGTCGATATTGAGAACATTTTACGATATTGTTTTTTTAAAACTCTGTATATTGGTAGTACATTACTGCATCATTATCATATAAAAATTTTTTTTTTATATGTAGACAGTAGTGTGTTAAATAAATCAAGTGGAGTAAAAAGTACAATAAATGCTTCCAAAATGTAGTGGTGTAGAAGTATAAAGTAGCATCAAATGGAAATACTCAAGTAAAGTATAATGATGACAAATCAGTACTTAGGTACAGTACTTGGCTAAATGTACTTTCCACCATTGCCCAAAAGTGTCTCGGTCTCAGCCCTCCTGTGTACCTTTCTCTTCTACCGTGTCTTCTTCTTCTCCACGTGGAAAAAGCTCCTATCCTCTAACAGGTTTCCCACCTGTCGTTAAGCCTGGATTACAGACAGGGAAAATACAGGGGAATCAAATTCATGTTTAGGGAATATCACGGAATTTAGCACCACTTTCCAGGATGATACCACGATGTGTTTTCCAGCTTGTTTACATTCATGGCATCAGATGGTTGCTTACTGACTGTTTTTCTCAACAGCAAAGTGTAGAACATTGACTTGCAATATAGTCATGAAAAGCCATTAAAGGAGACATTTAACAAGAGTTTTAAAGAATAAAATGTCATACCTATAGACCAGTGCTTCTCAAAGTGTGAGCGCCCCCTAGTAATCCGTGAGTATATTAATAAAATTTCACATTTGAAATAAATAAATAATAATTTAACTTTTCCGCACTCTCGTGGGAATATTTCCTCAATGGAGCGAGCTTAAATGTCATGTTTGATTGCATGATATAGCCCAGCGCCACACCTTCGTCACACATGTTGCCACTTGTTTGTACCATTGTACCAGTCGATTTGTAATCTGTTCTAGAAAAACGATTGATGTCTTTTACGAACATTTATCCATGCTGGAAGTAGATTTAGATGTTTTAGGAGTTAGATAGAGATTATTATCTAATATATGCATCCAATGAAGCATTGCATGAAGTCTGTTGATGATCAGAGGCTGTTGTCGGGGCTGCATAAACATTTTTTTAATTTTAGTTTTGTAGGCAGACCACGCAGGCCAGCCCGATGGTCACCAAGGTTCATGTTTTAATAGCATTTTTACAAAAAAAGCCCAGACGAGCCTAACATGTGAAAAAATTGCTCAGACCTCAGAGAGTTAAACTTGGGCCTGCGACCATAGTTTTACTGTATTTTGTTTTGAAAATCCACAGCGGAGGTTTGTGTCATAGGTACAGTACATGCGGTGTATTTTGCATATCTCTCATTAGCTAACGATCTGTGAGTCTGTTGGCTCGGACATAAACTCCGTAATAAATGTAGTCTACATTTCATAATAAGAGGTGTCAAACCTGAGCTTTTTAAATCGCATTTGAACTAAATGCTGATATAATCTGTATTTGTATTGTTGATTTAATGTGTGAACGAGGCGATATAGAGAAGTTAAGCTGTCATTATTAGGCTGTAATTTGTTATATACTGTTGGAGTGGTAAGCAGGCCTATTGTTTTGGGATATTTGGGGAGTTAGGTGGTCCGCAAGTTTTTTTTTATTGGTTAAGTGGTCCTTGGTATGAAGAAGTTGGAGAAACACTGCTATAGACAGACTATAACAAACAGATTATTTAATTCTTAACAATATCTTTACAAAAATCTTGATCAATATCCCATTTTCTTAACATGCATTAAATCAACAGTTAGCATTTGTGTTTTTTAAACAGATGATGATCATGGACAAGCAAAGAGGAGGGAATCCGAACGCTGATGGGAAAGCATCACCGACAGCAGCTGAGAGGGAAGACAGCCAACAGTCAGCAGCAGAAGTCACCAAACTGAAGGAGATGATGACCCACCGTGACAATGAGATCAGTATCCTTTGACCTGGTGGAGCTATCTTAAGTATTCTTTCCATGTTTTGTTGTTTCCTTGTCTTACAAAGACCATAAGTCTGTTATTGATCGTCTGGTCAGAAGGCCGGGCTACACTTACTTGCTTTTTGTTTAAATAGCCAAAGTTATTTCTGCTACAGAAAGGACTTTCAGATGGTGACGGATGACTGCAGTCGATTTAAAGTTACATTTAAAGACACAGATATTTTCTTTTACCATCTTTCCTTCTAAGCAAAGGTAAATACTTATGTAACTTTTTTGTTGTCTGTCCTGCACCAAAGCAGTTTTTAGGCATTATTTTAAAAAGAAAAAGCAGCTTAGTAGCTTAGCGCCAACTCTTCACCGGAAAGTCGGCGGGCCGTCATTTCGCCAGGCAGTGCAGTAGCTCTACTGTCATGGTAATGGCCTCGGTGAATGTTTGCGCTCTCCAAAATGCCCTTCTAGTTGCTTCTCTAGTGTATATGTGTGTCAGAGGTGCAAAGTTCCATTCCACTAACGGAGAGCTTTCCTGGGCTTGATTCCCTGTTGTACTATGTTTGGCTTGTTTGTTTCAATTTAAAACACCTCGTCCTTTTATCTCATCTATGAGTTGATGCACCCTGCATATTGTAGTGTGATAAAGGGAGATAGCATTAAACGGAAAAGGTAAGGTTAGGAAGTGCAGATCTGAAAAGAGAATTCCAAACTTGTAGTAAAATGAGGGAAAATGTGCAATAACAAACTGAGTAGAGTCGGTTTAAACTTTAAGTTCTGTTTCTGCATCCAGCCTCACAGTTTAATCACACTTCCTGTTAATAGTGATATCTTCATTTGCCAAAAACGGTATTCACCCTAAAGTAAATCAGCCTTTGTTATTGCTCGTTTGAATTACAGCGTTTCTACAAACACATAAATTATGAAATCTAAGTTGTCTTGCCTTCATCACCAGTGCCCCAAAGTAAGCATGAGATGTTGTTTTAATGTGTATGTTCACATATATCTCCATCCAATGACTGCAGTTTATCATCGTTACTATTAATCATAATTATGGTATTTGAATATGATATTTCTAATAGCTTTATGGGATTATTCTCCCCTCTACCCCTCATGCTGCGGCTTGTCATTAGATCACAGCACATTAGTCAGAAAATTGAGACGTCTGCTTGATTATTTAGCCACAAAAACCTCAGCGCTCCAAAATAAACAGAATATTATCATGCAGATATTTCACCACAGTAATTCTTGGAACAAGTCGGTGTAATGGGAAATCCTCCCTTCTCCTCTCCTCTTCATGTCATACACTGGATTTCACATGATGCAAAAGTAATCACTCAAATTAGTACTGTGCGTGTTTAAAGGCGCATATTTCAGCCAGTAATGTACACGCTCGGCTGACCATATTCCCCTCATGTTCTTTCTTTGCAAGGTTTATATATAAAGTTTCAGTAGCCTAAACTATCAAACCTCAAAGTTGGGGGGGGTAGGGTCTGCCTGCAGCATGTAACTCTATAGTTTAGGTTGACCAACGCTGCAGGGATGACATTAGTTCCAGCCATATCATTTATTTCCCAGTTCTCACAGGGTTAATTATGGCAGAGTTCCCTATAAAACAAAAGGTTTTATCTCTCCCCCTGTGTTCCCATGCATGGTCGGTGGGGCACCTGGTAATGCTTAGTGGACTTTGCAAGGGTTGTGACACATCCACCACTAACATGATAATTGAGCAACAAGGAGGAGTTTGTAACTAAGTTAAAATGTTGTTATACAGTCATTCCTTGATGCTTTTTTGGAAGTTCCTAATGCCTCCATGCTGGCGATAGGCTCTTAATACGCTCGGCTAGATGTGATATATTTTCGAGTTGTCCATCCATCAAATTCTTTTGAATCTGAAATCTCGGGAAGGCCTCAAGGATTTATTTTTTAAGTGTCTTTTGTCCAAGATGAACCTTTATTGGAGAGTGACAGTGTGAAAGGGGGAGAAGGAGCGAATGGAAATGTGTAAATGTTCCCAAGCTGTCCCGTTACATGGGACACTTCTACAGGGGTAGCCAGACCTAGAGGAAATATATTCAAATTTGCCAATCATTTCCAATTGACTGACTCAAAGATAAACTTATTAGACTCGACTTGCCAAAGGTCACCTAACAGAACTTGTTTGTATTTTTACCATATTGCTATAACTTAGAGATGATGATTATGCACAAATGTTACGATACAATTATGAGATTGTGGTCAAACATGGATGTAATTTCAACTTCACTGATTGGCGGAGGCATACAAACTTAAGGCGGTAAATCTGTGCTAGCAATCGACCGAACATTTCAAAGAGAGGACCAATAATATTCACAAATTGTCGATAATACAGTTTCATTTTCTCTTGGCTCACAATCGTGTTCAATGTATCCAGGAAGGATTTAGCTAATACTTAATCATGATAGCAACAGTGATACGGCAAAAAAGACTTCTCGTTGTGTGGTTGCTGCTTTGACAAAGGTTCCCTGGATTCTCTTAAAAACTCTGTCCGCTCTTCAGCTTGATTTCTTACATCAAGGCTCCAAAATTCACTCAATAAAAAATAATGCTGACAACTTATTGCTCAAAGACTCTACAGTCGCCTCCACTTCTACTGAACAGAACATCTCTATAGGTCTCATAGTTGGAGTAGTTTATGTTCTGGGCTAGAGATTTTTGGCTCCTCATTTTCAGCTTCAGGATCAGCATGGCTCTTTAGAGACGGTGGATAGCCAGTGAAATATGTTGACAATGAACTGATGGATTTGCACGGACATTTGTTCCCGGACCACGCTTCCAAATGACTTGATACCTTGACTCTTCATTCAGTGCCACCAGCAGGTTGACATTTCTCTGATTTATTGCTGGAAAAGGTCTTTAGAAAAAATGTCAATACAGAGGGGAGAACATTGCTTTGTGCTTTAGTGCCCACAAAAAAAGAAACCTATCAAATATATTAAAAAGGGAATTATATCCCGACATTCCAACACATTTGATGGATATCACAGTGTGGAAGTAGCATTTGCATCCTTTGCTAATGATAATACAGCGACCCACTAAGGGTTTTGTTTTCCACCAGCTGCATTTGGTTTTAGCATATATGCAAATCAGTGTTGATTGGATGAAATGACCTAAATCAGTCATATTGCAGATAGGATTTGTTAAGTCTTTGATTGAACTGATTACAAACCTATTAAGCACACTACAGGAAAGGGAAACCCCCAATAAGAATATAAGAGCCCCTTTAAAGCTATATATTGTATTATGCATCTTTAAAGGACAAAGAAAGTATAACTGCCTCATCATGCTATAGCTTTTAAAAGCTTTAGGACAATATTTGCATTGTAAGGATATGTCAAACATTCCATTATCTAAATGAATGCTGATTAACATCTTAAAGGATTTTTCATACTTGTAGTATATGGTATGCTAAATTGAAGCAATTTGCGGCACTACTGAGATTGGCACTGCACCTTCGCTAGCTTTGGCAACAAAATATATATATATATTTGGTGGGATGTCTGCTTTATTGGACAGTATAATAAAGAGTGACAAGAAAGATGAGAAGGAGAGATGGAATGCACTTCATGAGCTCAGTTTGACCACATTTTGAGTGCAAGGCATGTGAAGCAGCCCACAGATCTTACGTGCAACCCCCAAGAAAACATTTCATCCTATTCTCGAGGGCTATGTTGGGGTTCAGCATAAATGAAGATATCAGACGCCGGAGATCTCGCTAATGGAAAAACCTGCTGAACAACCGTTTGAAGTAATGACTTGTATGAAACAATGACATAGGACCCACAGAAGTCATATTTCTCCATTCAACTTGGCTGCTAGAGGTAGTTTAGATTTTTTTTTTGGTTTAGATTTTGGCAGTTTTCAGAGGGCTGCATGGTTGGTTTCTTTGGAAACTGTAATTGTAGACCTGGTTTCTTCATGTTATTGTTCCAACTGACATCCCCCTTTGTATTGGTGGACAGAAATATAAACCAACGTCTCCAACTCCTTCAAAACTACGTCCATGCCTCCTCCCAAATAATGACAATCAGACTTTTTTTCTACGAACATCCCCAATTATCTGCTGACCACCACAGTCTGGCCACAAGTGGATGTCTGCTAATCTCATGATAGAAGCATGCTTAAGGAATAGGCTAATGTGTTGTCTCTAAATTATGGGTTGTGATTCGGCCATCAAGCACACTTCCATTTATAGTGGAAAAACAGGCACACAGGCATCGAGCTGAATATGTTAGGAGAATGCAATCTTTTATTCATGTGTTATTGTAAATTAAGGACGTAGAAGTTAAACAGACTGTTTTTCGCTAGCGTACCTCTGATAGAATAACACTAAGCCATTGTCCCTTTCCCTATTTGTTCCCTGTGACAAGCTTTCAGTAAGATGTAAAGCAATCTTGGCAGCTTTCTGTAAAATAGCTTGATCATGTTTTTTCCCATACAATTCTAGTTCACACGATTACAATTTTTCCTCCGTCAGTAGGCTTTTACAGTGTAAAAACATGGCCTCTGCTAGCACCGTTGTCTCCTTTCACACCAGTGGTAGGAACAGCAGTGTTATACCCCTTTGATACAGTAAACATAGCTCTACAAGTCAGAAAGCATACCAGCATTCACCCGTCAATTTGATAATCACATTTGAAAGTCCTGAAAGAATTTGTGCTCTGTTGTGTGTGTGTGTGTGTGTGTGTGTGTGTGTGTGTGTGTGTGTGTTATTATTATTTAAAAAAATGTGAGGCCAGCTGAAAGCAATTGATCAAATGCTGAGTAGTGCTGTACTGTTGAAAGCTTTTTACATTAAATGGAACAGAGTAAACGATTATAGTAAATTGTCTTAATGTATAGAGACATTGCATATGGAGAAGTAAAAACGTGTCATGGCAATACAAATGTTAACGGGATCTAATTAAGAATTCTTGCCTTCTCATGTAGCCACTCAATTACCCTGTCACAGATGCATATCTACACTTGGATTCAAGTAGACAAACACAAGAAATATAACCTCATCAGTGGGGAAGATTTTGTGGAATCTTGGTGAAGTATGCAGCCTCTCTGGCTCCTCTTCTCTCCACTGATTCATCCCAGACCATGACATCTTCCCCAGCCTGTAAGGTCAGACGCTGAGAGCATGTCAGCACTCCGCCATTATTAAAAGCCCTCAATAGAGCTGGCTGCCTTTTTGAGGAACCCTTCATCCCGAAATCAATCAATCAACCTGTTTTTACACTTACCTGTATTTATTAAACTACATTGTTGTTGGTTTAGTTGCCAAGTGTTGGAGATATAGTCTTATAGATGTATGCTTCCTCTCGAGTATAATGGAAGTAGATGGCATTTGGCTTGGTTTGGTGTTTAAAGCCCAAAGAGTACATTTGAAAAACTCAACAGCAATGTCTCTTTCAAGAAATCACGATCATCCACAGAGCTTGTTGTGAGCAGTTTCATGTAGGAACATTTCTAAATCTCGTGTTGACACTAGATCAAGCCTCCTTGAGTATTTGCCTTTTTAACGGTTATTCGGTTTGCGGGTGTAGTTCGAAGGAATAAAGAAGTCAAACTGCAACAAGGTCTATTGATTATCTTTAGTAATTGGGTCATGCTTTTTGGAAAGAGAAATTCGGTTGGGTTTTTCAACATCTTTTTTGACATTATGCACGAAAGAAGAGTGCCATGTAGTTCCATTTCATTGGAGAGAAGTCAATCATCCCGTTTCCATCCGGTACTTTGTCCAAAACAAGATGAAAAACATTACTTAACTCATTCCCCACAGGTATCCTAGTTAAGATGTTGAAGAAGGAGAAAAAAAGAGCCCAGGATGCTGTTGCTCAGATTGCTAACACCGTCAATGGCCAGAGAACGGCGTCCCAGGATGCCTCAGGGTTGTCAACAATGCCACTATTGAGGGAAGGGAGCCCAGACAGCATCTCAACCGGCCATAGAGGACGAGCCATAAAGCACATGAAAAGAGGTACGTTAAGAAACTAGATCCTGTTGTGCTTGTCTTTACAAAGCAAAGAATTGGAAAGATGGAAGACCAATCATGTTTATAGCTGCCAGAAATGTTCTGATATTGATAGGGTGTAGCACTCGAAGCATTTCAAAATGGCGTACAAATTGAACTGTGACATGTTTGAGACATCTGGTTCTACTCCTTGTTGTGGCTCTGATAGTCAAGGCCCTCTCCAGATAGGATTAGCCTTTGACATGTTGAGGCAACACACCTACTTGGTTAGGCTTAGGAAGAGATCCTTGTTTGTGTTAAAGATCCCATGTCATGCTTTTCCGGTTATTACCCGTCCCCTTGTGTGTTATGTAGCTTTTTATGCATGTAAACAGTCTGCAAAGTCACACACCTTCAAAGTACACCCTGTAGCGAGTAAAACTCTAACACAGAAAATACGTTCCTATGCTGCCCCAGAACGCCTCGTTGGAGATTTTATTTTTCAATTTTTTCATTCCGGGAATCAAGTGACGTAACGACAGCCCCTCCGTGGATTGGTCCAATCTTTTCTCAGCTGCAGCTCCGCTGATTTCTCCTCCCTGAGACGGCGGGACGCGGCGAGGCTGTGGCTGCAGGTGTGTGTGTGTGTGCACTCTCCAAGAACTTGGAGTTTCAGGCTCTGCACTTTCCCTCCTCACCTCATACCTCAAAGACCGTACCTACAGGGTAACTTGGAGAGGGTCCGAGTCCGACCCTTGTCAATTAACTACAGGGGTCCCTCAGGGCTCTGTTCTTGGTCCCCTCCTCTTCTCCTTGTACACAAACTCGCTCGGATCTGTCATTAGCCTGCATGGTTTTTCATACCACCGCTACGCTGACGACACCCAATTAATTCTTTCCTTTCTCCGCTCAGAGACCCAGGTCGTCGCACGCATCTCTGCTTGTCTAGCGGACATCTCTCAGTGGATGTCTGCTCACCCCCTCAAGCTCAACCTTGACAAGACTGAACTGCTTTTCCTTCCGGGAAAAGATTGTCCCACTCTTGACCTAACAATCAACATCGGCACCTCTTTTGTTTCCCCGACTCAGACTACAAGGAATCTGGGTGTGATCCTAGATAACAAACTGTCCTTCACTGCAAACATCGCTGCTACAACCCGCTGCTGCAGATACACTCTTTAGAACATCAGGAGGATACGTCCCCAGCTGACCCAGAAAGCGACGCAGCTTCTGGTCCAGGCTCTCGTCATCTCTCGTCTAGACTCTCTCGTCATACTGCAACTCCCTCCTGGCTGGTGTACTTGCATGTGCCATCCGACCTCTGCAGCTCGTCCAGAATGCAGCGGCTCGTCTGGTCTTCAACCTTCCAAAATGTTCCCACACCACCCCGCTCCTCCGCTCACTTCACTGGCTTCCAGTAACTGCTAGAATCCACTTCAAACAATGGTACTTGCATACCATGCTGCGAATGGATCTGGCCCTTCCTACATCCAGGACATGGTTAAACTGTACACCCGCTGGGGTGTACAGTTTAACCATGTCCTGGATGTAGGAAGGGCCAGATCCATTCGCAGCATGGTATGCAAGTACCATTGTTTGAAGTGGATTCTAGCAGTTACTNGAAAATTGCAATATAAATCTATTCTAGTAGACCTCAAAAATGGAATTATGATCAGTAGAAATGGCTATGACATGGGACCTTTAACTTCAGTGAGTCAGGAAGCAGCATGAGAGAGGCGTTCAGGGTCACTGCCTCTCATTTGGTGATACCGGCTTAACATCTGAGGAAGTCATTTTCGTCTGTTCTTCTGCTCTCTCTCTTCCCCTAATTTACTTAGTTAATTGCCCCATTCGAGATATTGAATTTGTGAGGCAATGCTTCAGTGGCATAGGAAGACTGTAAAGTAAATGTACTTGAGCATATTGTAAAAGACCATACTTGAGGTCATTAATATCTCCATTTAATCAGGTTAAAGCGTGGATACATTTACTATAAGATAACTTGAGGAGACATGTGATAGTGTGTCTGATAATGAGTTTAGTGAATGAGCATGTATGACGAGGCTAAACGATAAAAGAGACATGGAAGTGCAGTTCTGTGGTCAGTTTCCATTACAATCCCTCAGGTATTATACACATGTAGACGGTGCCGTGCTGTAGTTCTTTATGTAACATGATCCTGTCGCCAATCTTAAACCCGAGCTCCAAAAATGACAAATCCAGATGACTTATCGTTTTGCAAAAAGAGAAAAGAACAGGAGTGTGGTGAACTGCCATTTCCTGCAACACCTCTCAAGGTGCCATACACCTCTTGGCTCAGAGCTCCTGCTTTATCAAAGAAAAGATGAAGACACTGAGAGCATTTAAGACTAACATGTCCTGCCGGAGTGACCCAGAGTAAAGTGCAGTCTCTCATGAATACCCTGGGGTTTATCAAGCATGACAAATGTTATTATTACAGACTTCAGGTTGAGTTTTACATCAGCTCTCAGATTTCCACTGATCCAAAATGTTTTGCCCATGCAACACACAGACCAGCTCATCTTTCAAAAGTCTTTACAAACACCTTTTTTTAAATGCAGGCTGATATTTAGGGTTTCTGCTGACAGTGGAGATGTGAATGGATGATGTGCAACGTTACAAATGACACACAGGGACATGTTGTGCCCATGATGATGGTATTTTTCCTAATGCCTGTGGAGAACCAACCAGGGTATGGGAACCTCTCAAAGAATCTGCAGTTAGTGTACGTAACTGAGAAAGTAAATGAGCTGAGAGGCCCTGTGGCTTTACATTGTGGTCAGGTAGCCAATCCAAGTCTTTATACAGACACAACATTCTCAAACATGACCCAAAACTGAAGAATCGTTCAAAACAAGATAACAGGATTAAGACATATTCCTGCCAGGGAAGCACATAACAGCAACATATGAGTTAAGTGAACGGCCATACATCACAATCCCTCAGGTGAAGAGCACATGGGAGCTGAGGGCACAAGGGCCCAACACTAACCGTACAGCTTACATGAGTCATGCTACTGAAGGTTTTCCGAGGCCAACACATGAGGACTAGATGTATTTATCACGGGTCTTAATACAATTTGACATGCTTTATGGCTGGCTGATGTATTCCTGATTCTGGATTACAATGCAGATGTACAGCACAATATTCTACTCAAGTCATTTTCACCCAGAAAAACTCTTTGCACATTTATTTAAACAGACAGGTGATTAAGAGAGAGAGGGACGATTGGAGAAAAAGTTAGAAAAATTCCTGCGCACCTGAAAAAAAGTTTTTATTTTTTTACGTTAAGGCCCAGATGTCTATTGCATTCATAATTGTGTATGGTACTAAATGTATCTTTGGTATTTCCTTTTCGCGGTTTTTCTGAAATAAAGCTTATTATGCAACTTGGATTGCCTTACTCCTTGGGGCATGTAGGGTCCATGAATAGGGATCATTTCATGTATGCAGTGGAGGACAGGGGTACATTTTATTTTGGTTTCTTAACATATATTTACACTGGTGAAGTGTTTGGCTTTTAGTATTGAGTGAGGCTCTGATTTATTATAAATGTTTCCATTTATTTATTGATAGTGATTTCCTATTTGCAAGACAAGAGTTTTGATACAGGTTAATTTACTTAACATGCAATATTCGGGATTGTGTTTCTGAAAGGCAGTTTGTCACTTCATACATGAATTTCATAGACATCTGCATTTATTACGTTTTTTTGGAGAAAATGTACAATTGTGGTCACAGTGTTTTATTTCCTTCTAGGTCCATATATGAAATTGCAGATTGTCAAGAAAGATTCCACGAGAGATTCATTTGGTACGTGTCAAGTAAGAGTGGTGTGCGGTGTGCTTCCTGCAATACTATATTACACTTGAGTGTTGCTCTCCTCCCTGCAGGACATGACTGTGGGCTCTCAGCCTCCTCCAGACCATGCAGGGTTTCCTCCCACATCGCCAGGAGACATGCTGTCGTCTTTAAGGACCGGTGTCAAGCTACAAGCCTCAATCAATATTTGGTGATTTTTGTGGCTGGAGGTTAAACCTGATATGCTGCACATTACCACAGCGATCCCGAGATCCAAGGATCGTAAGTTCTCTCCAGCTTCTCAATATCTGGGTGGGGTGTTGATTTCAGTGTGCATGAAGAATGAATGCACTAAATAATATGACCATCTTGAAAATATTGAGGTACTAAAATATAATTTAGATAATTGGTAGATAACTACCATCAAAAGTGTTGCATTAACAAAAGGAAACAAGCAAGGTTGTATTAACTTGATCTCCAAGTAACCTTGGAACCCATCAGCCAAGCTTTGATAACTATTTCGCTTAAAATCAGCTTGTAAACTGACCACTTGTGAAACAATTATGGTTGTAGATGTTCAATGTCCAAATCCAGTATTGCGTCTCACGATGCTGATAAATCTGATACCAATGAGCACTCGAATAAAAGCGTCTAGGCCCTGATATGTGCTGGCAACACAAAACCTTACAAAATGTTGACTGTTATTCGGAGAATGGGTAATACTAAAGCAAAAACCACACAGAAATGTCTCTTTAAAAGGGCCCCTATTATGCTGATATTCGGGTTGATATTTGTATTTTGTGTCTCTGACATGTTTCCATGCTTTAATGTTGAAAAAGCTCTTTATTTTTCTCATACCTGTACCATGCCTGTGCTGCAGCACCTCTTTTTACCCTCTGTCTGAAACCAGAGCCCAGTCTGCTCTGATCGGTTAGCTGGCCGGCTCTTTTTTGATTGGATAACCACTTAGAGATGCCCCGGGCCTTAGCCTAACACGAACAATGTATTGGAGCACAAGCCAATAGAAACGCGAGTGTTATATGGCTATGTCCTTATGTTACCGAAGTAGACAAAGGAGTCCAATGGAGGCGTTTCAGGCAGGTACTGTAGTGTGGGAGAGAAAGTCCCTCCGGAGGGGACTTGTTTTTAGCATTTGCAGAACATTTACATATACCACAAACCTATATGACTGACTAAAGGAAAGGGAAAACCCCCCAAAACACAATAGGGCCTCTTTAATGAGCAGCCGCTGACATTAGCACTACAAGAAGTTATGTAGATTCTAGAGGCCGCTGGTTACAAAGACCACATACACAAATCAAATAATATTTTTCCAGCAGTATTCCTTCTCAAGTGCTTGTTAACCACCTTCTTGGCGATGATAAAGGTTTTAAGGCTCCAATACACCTTCCTTGAATCTGAAAGTC